GAAAATTATTGAATTGGAAAGACAAATAGATTTTATTAAGAGTAATAGTAAACCACCTTATACAGTTATAAATAATAAAGATGATGTTAAAATAAAAACAATAAAAGATTATGAAAGTGGTTCTATTAGTAATAATATCAATACAAAAACTATTAAAGATAATGATTATAATAATAAAAATGATGATTTAAAAAGTAAAGAACAAAGTATAATAAGAAATAATAATAATAATAAAAGAAATAAATATAAAATCAAAGAAAGTAACAACAACAACATAATAATGAAGTTAATTAAAAGACAAACAAAACCAAAATATGGAAATAATGTTAAAACAATGACAGTTAATAAAACAAATGCTAATTTAAAAGAAGACGATGATTATATTGATAAGGAAATAAAAAAAGATGAAGATTGTGAAGATAAAGAAATAAAAGAAGATGATGATTGTGAGGATAAAGAAGAAGAAAAATGTAAAAGTAAACCATATTTAACAAATGCAGAAATTAGATTACATAATGTTGATACAAACAAAGATATTAAAATTAAATTACCAATAAAAGAGATAACAGATGCGTTGAATAATAAAAACAAGAAGAAGAAATAAAATAGTTAGTTTTTAATATTTTATGCTTAAAATTTTTTAAATTATTTTTAGCATGAATTTTAAATTAACAGTACACAACAACGATATTAATATAAAATGTGAAAAAGATATTAAATTAACTGAGATAATTTATAATAAGGATAGAAGTGATATGATAGGAGAAATAGATGAAAATAGCAAAGAGTTATTAGATTTAATGAAGGAAGCTCTGGTTGCAAAAGTAGTCTATAAAAACGGAGATTCGAAATTACTTGATATATCATTGATAGAGATAAGTGAAGATGTAGATAGTGTTATATTGTACGATTTTAACACCAAGGAAGGTAAGCATGCATTTTGGCATAGTTCAGCTCATATTTTAGGACATGCACTTGTGAATTTATTTGGAGCTAAACTTGTTAATGGACCGGCCATTGAAGAAGGATTTTACTATGATATTGATGTCAGTGAACCAGTATCAGAAAAAGATTTTACTAAAATTGAGAAGGAATACTTGAGATTGTGTAAATTGAATAGTAAGTTTGTTAGAAAAGAAGTTAACTTAGATTATCTTAAAAAATTATATGAAGGAA